TGATATATGTTGATAATATCCTTCTTGATTGTATTTCTTGAAATCATCTTGAATCTTGGTTGAAGGGTAGCAACGAACCTTCTAAATCCAATATGCTCCACAATTGATAAAGGATATTCATGTAAAGCAATCATGCAGGCAAGTTCCTTTCTTGCATTCTCATTATTAAAAACAGCAGTAGTAAGTTCTGATTTCCCTTCACTATTCCTTGAAGGCTTCAAAAAATTTTGCCTTATATCAGCAGTACATTTCAATGGGCAAGCCTTTAAATGATCATGCAAATGTTTTGTTCCATTCTTAGTTTCACCACCAAGCATTTTGCTACAATAGATGCATATTGCTTTCCATGTGCCATTAACCTTTTGTCTCTTAAAAGACTCCCATGCCTTTGAAGTTAATGCTCGTTTGTGGCCAACCTTCTCATTTTCATTAACACCTTCTTCTTCTTCTATTACAATAGGAGGCATAGCAAAAGATGAAGTTGGTGTTGGTGTTGGTGTTGTTAGAGGACTTGGGCTTGCCATAAAATTACCACTTGATTCATTAGGAATTTGAATTGGTGGTGGAGCTTGAAATGATCCCTCAGCACTCTGCTCTTGTGTGTTAGACATTTATCACCTAAAAATAAATTTTAAAAAAACAATTATGCCTTTCCATTGAAATATAAAATAAATTTTCATACCAAATAAGTCATTATAAAATAAACTTTAAACTTTTCTATATTATATGTATATCAATATGACAGTATATGACTAGGTAAAAAAATTAACTAAGCAATTCACACTATAAGCAGCCATTAAATCTAGTAAATTCTAGGAAATCCAAACTTTCTCTATGTTAATTCAACCATAATCAAATTATTAAACTTCTTACTAATTCAACCTTAATCAAGTTATTAAACTTCTTACCGTTGGATTCCGAGAGGGAGTTCGGCACAGGCAGCAAGTAGAGGGAGTCCGGCACAGTATAGTGCAGTAAGCAGAGGAGGTCTGGCACAGTGCAACAAGCAGAGGAGGTCTGGCACAGTGCAGCAAGCAGAAGAGGTCCGGCACAGTGCAGCAAGCAGAAGAGGTCCGGCACAGTGCAGCAAGCAGAGGAGGTCCGGCACAGTGCAGTGCAGCAAGTAAAGGAGGTCCGGCACAGTACAGTGCAGCAAGCAGAGGAGGTCCGGCACAGTGCAACAAGTAGAGGTCCGGCACAGTGTAGTGCAGCAAGCAAAGGAGGTCTGGCACAGTGCAGCAAGCAGAGGGGGTCTGGCACAGTGCAGTGCAGCAAGCAGAGGGGAGTCCGGCATATGAGCAGATCTGCAAGCTGCAGCTAACAGCTTTGACAGCAGCTTCAGGAGCAGATCTGTAACAGCTCCAACAACAGATATGTAGTAGATTTGCAGCAGCAAGAAGGGGAGAGGAAGGTTGAAGGTGAGGTGAGACTTGAGAGGTTGATTGTTCGGATGAGACCAAGAGTGAGTGAGGGATCGTGGCTGCATGCGTGAGTGACAGAGTGAGGAGAAAATGAGGGGAAATGAATAAAGTTGAAGTTATGAAATTAGGGTTAGAACTTGTAAAGACTAAGGAGAGGATGCTGGAATGGATTGTTGGGTTGGCCGGATGGGTAACATGGGTTGGTCGGTTGGGTTGGATACTTGGGTTGGGTTGGGTTGGGTAAAATTTAATTTTTATTGAATTGGGTTTGGGTTAGATTTGGGTTAGGTTTGGGTTTTATTTTAAATATTAAATTGAATTTAAATTATTTTTTTTAATTTTTCACGGGGATGGGGATCCCTGCGGGGCCCCGCGAGGCGAAAAAAATTTCCCGTGAAATTTCGCAGGGAGAAAATGCCCCCCATCCCCGCCCCACGGGGAGGAATATTCCTCCCTGCCCCGTCCCCATGACGGGGATCGGGGGAAATTGCCACCTCTACTCTCTTTATAATAAAAGCATATTAGTTAAAGTTTTCTCTATTAAATCTCTTTTTCTGTATTCTTAATTTTTTTGAGTTGTTAAATAATTATAATTTTCTACTTTTTGAAAAATATTCACATAATTTATAAGTTAGCTATCCATCTTAAATGATGATAAGTTTTTATAGTAAAATTGCAATTTCAAATGAATATCCTGCCATAATATTGTATGATAATAATAATATTAAAGTTTGTTGGTATATGAATAAATCTGTATTTTCTCAAAGTACTAACTAGGATTTCCAATTTTTTATCTGATATTTTCTAACGCTAATGACAAAGTTTTAAGTAATTAATTTATGCTCTTGAACTTCTAATGAATCTTTAAATTCTTTCCTATGTTTCTTTTTATGACATTTATATTGATTTTTCTATAAAACACCTTAGTCTAGTAAAAAGAATCGAACCACTACAAGAAAACCTAGCTTCACCGACCAAATATCACCGAGGTAAGAAGGTTTCTCGGTGAAGTATCAATTTACCGACAAGAATCAAGTCTGCAACTTGACAAACAGTAGAAACGCGAGTAAGATATATTATTTAGCATACAGACGTAACACTTGTCGGTAATTTAAGATAATACATACGTGTCACTCGTCGGTAAATGCAGCATCTACTCCGGCCGGTGAGAGAAGAACGAAAATCCACTCACCGACGAGGAGAACGCCTGTAATTGAAATTTGGAACGATAGTCTCGTCGGTAATTGAGGATCAATTTCCAACGTCCCCCTTCTCGGTAATTTCCACTCCCAATGCACCCCCCCGCCAACCAGTTGGCCGCCTGCGGTAGGGAGTGCAGCTTTTTGTTGAAATGTGCCGACATAAGCCTTGTTGGTAATTTGGCATTCAGCAACTCCCCGCGAATCCGGCTGCTGGCCGGTGGCGTTGCAGCTTTTATTTCATTACCAATGAAATGCAGGTCTGTAATAGTTTCATTTCCAACTTGATGCTCGTCGGTGATGGGCCCGGTCAACGAGAATCCTGATGCAATGCAGAGGTGATCAGCTTTAGACTGTAGCAACGTGGATTTCGTCGGTAAACTTGCCTATGCCCTGCCGACCCGCCCTTCTGCCTTCATTTTGGTCTTTCTCCTTCCATTTTCATTTCCCTCTCGTCTCGCGAGTTGTTCTTGCTCCCTTTCCTCCATTCTGTCCTTTGAAGCACTTTAACACATTTTTCTTCTTGCAATCTAGTGGATCAAGCAGTGGTAAGTAAAATTTAAGTAGTATTATTATTTTTTATATATTTTATGTATATTTTATT